CATCATTCTCTCTCTTCCTCTTTTTTCTTTTATGTCTTCCTTCTCACTCTACGTCTCCTCCCACTTTTTCTTCTCTTATTTCCTTCTTTTTCTTCTTCTTTCTTATTACAATATTAATACCTAATAATAAAGAAAATGATCAATATGATATATATATACACGTAACAATTAAATTAAATAAAAGCATAAAAAAATTATTAAATTAGATTAACAACAATAATAACAATAATAAAATAGAATGGATACATATAAATTATAAATCACAGAAATCAGGTGAGTACGAAGAATTAAAAAACATTCGATGTAACAACAAAATATAACATAACAACAGTTAATCAACATGAAAACAACATTTAAGTAACGTAAAAGAAAGTATTATCGCACAAATCAAAAACACATTTGAAGAGCACTCCATAATCCATATATCCTCATCATCCGTATATCCTCATCATGAGATCTCATGGATTTGAAATTCGAAACAGACCCAATATCCAAAGACATCAAAACACAACAAATTAGAAAAGTGTAGAACAAATTGAAAACTCAATAAAAATTGCAACTTTGTTCAGTAAGAGTAAACCAAACATGACAGATAAAAAAATAAAGAAGAAAAAGGAAATCGCCTCTCTATATCTCTAAACAAACATCAAAATAGAGATTTCATGAAGACCATAGGAGATCATAAAAAGAATAATTAAAAAAAAAAAGATAAATACCGAGCAATTGCCTAGGGCTCCGATTATGCGCTCCCGACGAACCCTACCCCCAAAAAATCCACTCCTCGTCCCTCTGCAATTATTCTGCTGCGCCTCTCCCAACGACGGCAACGCCACGGCCAGGGGTCGTCCTTGACCGCCTGGCCCTTCTCTGGTTAGAGTGACCCCGATTAAACCTTGGAGTTTCGCGGCGGAGTTCGGTCAATTGGGGGCAGGGATGGCCTCGGTCGGCGACGACAGCCTCTAGGTATGGCGCTTCGCAGGCGGTTCGGGTCTCCACCTCAATTACCGGCGGGAGCTGCTCCGTGGAGGTAAGGCTGTTCACTTTCCCCTTCTCTACTGTCGATTGGGTGTTTCTTCTCCGGCGGGTTTGCCTGCTCCGGAGGGGCTGGGCTTTAGTCGCCGGAGCTCCGAGGTTGTTTGGTGCATCGCTTGTTCTGAGGGAAGGGTTAGGGCTCCGATCCCTGCGATTTGGTTGTTGTGGTGGTTGGGGTTAAGGGTGCGACCTCCCTTGTGCGTGCCCGGCCGACTAGTGGTGTTAGGCGGCGGGGATCCGTGTTCTTTCGAGCTTGCTGAGTTCGAGTGGAGCCGGTGCGAGGGCTGGTGGCGGCTCTTTCGGTTGACGATGGGTCGATTCTGGGATCGGTTCGGGACTCGGTGTCTTCTACTGTATAGGCAGCAGGCAGTTTCGGTAGCGGATTCTCGAGTAGGGATCTTTCTTGTGTCGATCGTCCACTGCTGGTTGGGTTTGTCTGCTCGCTGGGGGAGGGCTCCTCTTTTTTATAGTAGTTTTCCTGTTTATGTGTCTGTTTGTTTGTGTTTGTTTTATGTTTGTGATCGTGTTTTAGGTTTGGGCCGTTGGCCTCTGTGCATCCAAGTGTCAAATATATTACTCCGATTGGGGTCCGACATTCCGGTATTACCCTGTGGGGGTCTTGTCTTGTTGTTTTGTTGTTTTAGTCGTTGTCTATTACCCTGTGAGGGTCTTATCTAGTTGTTTAGTTTAGTTGCGAGTTTTTCTTCCTAGCGGTTGCTAGCCGGGTTTCTAGGCGGTCTCCGGACATGTCCTCTCACTTTTCAGCCGTTGGCTGCTTGTATTCGCACACTTGTGCGCTTTTGATTTATAATAATATCTATCATTTCGGAAAAAAAAAAAAAAGAGAAATGAGCAATGAACTTCTTCTTGTTCATTACAATGGGAATTGGATCACATAAGTAAACTATGAGTGATTGAGGTCGGTGGCATATTTCACAAAGAAACACCAACCAAAAAACATCATTATAACCACTGAACAACATGAAAATAAAAAGCCCAATATACAATACTAGAAATCACAAACAGTGTGTAAACTCACGCATTGTGCATCATATTTCTTAAAAAAAATGTCGACCCTAAAAATCATGTAAACTTCGACTTCGATTACAAAATTGAGAAATTTCCAAAGCCATATCTTGGTTCTACTTCCAATTGTATGCGCGTGGCCAAACCGGAGCAAAACCGCAATTTGCCTAACTGGTTCCGCAGTGACACCTCCAAGATGATTTCATGGTCTCCACCATTAAAGACGAGGACAGCTAGTCGGCGTTGTCGTCCTCCGCGGACGCATTGAGTGCGAGTCAGTGGCAACTCTAGCCAGCGCCGACAGACCAACGAACAGCGAATCCGGTCGCCAGATCTCAACGGTTGAAAGATCAGGGCGAGGCATTCTCGGTAGAACATAAGAAGAAGGGCTTCTGACAGAATTTTTCCTTTTCTTGGACTCAATCACAAAATTTGAACTTTTTTTTTTCTGCAAATCTAGTTACAACCATTGAACATGTAAGAAAAAATAACACACAGAAAAAACAAGAAGCTTTAGTATGAGAATGAAGCAATCCTATTGAACAAAACCAGTTGTCTAATAACTGACACATAAAAAAAGACGTGCCATTTAATATTAAAAAAATAAAAAATAGTAAAACCGCCCAAAAAAGCAAAACACCGGTTACATGATGAAAAAATCCAAAATTTGAAAAAGGAGTATAATGAAAATGAAATGGAGTAAAATTGACTAAATAGTGAGCAGTTGTTTTGTTGTAACTTGTTCATGGAATCAGTCAAGGGGCGTCAATTTTTCCTTCCTGTTTTATGGAGCAACAATCCATTTTTAAGTCAGAGGCCCAAGATCCTTTTCCTTTCTTAACTTGCGGCCCAATAAAACCGCCCAGCAGCCCATTTAGCGCGCATGAGCCCAGCAGGGAGAAGAAGAGCGCGCGGGCCGCCTCGGCCCGCTCCAGCCCGCGTGGCCCGTTTTCTCCTCAGCATGCGCAGCCGTGGACCCGCGTGTAGACAGCGTGAAACCTACATTTCCAGCTTTATTGCGTGGCCCAATCTGGTGTGATATTTAGGCCCATTTCTCGCATGCTAAGCCCAGTTCAGCGGCTGCCTTTGTGGGCTTCTTCCCAGCGCGGCCCAAGTTCGGTCTTTTGGCCATTTTTGTGTGCCGGGAGCTCATTTTTCGTGCCAAACCTGTTTTTCAAATGAGATAAATCCGGAAAAAATATTTTTGGTCTCGAGGCTCCATTGTTCTCCGAGTCTAATTTTTCGAAATTTCTGAGAGTTCCAAGTCCCCGAAAAATTCGATAAAAACCCTTGATCCTTAACTTTGATTAAGTGTGCGCTTTTTATTATTTTCAAATTATCGAGATAAGTATATTGAGATATTATCTTGATTAAATGTAGTATTCTGAGGAAGTCGAGCCTCACCGACCTATCCGAGCCAGTGTGCTATTTGTCTTACTGACTGCTAATCAGGTGGGTGTTGATAAACCTTACCATGTATGTTATTCTTTATAATTGCTTGGCTTGATAATCTATGTATGAATGTGAACCGTTAGTCTATGAGAGGTTCTCACGTTGATGGAGTTCCGACGTTTTTCTATTTGTGCCTATTGAGTGGTTTCTCCTGTGAATGGGCTTGTCCCGACGGTTTAGCTCCCCTGAATGGGCGGTGTCCCGACGGTTAGGGGTGTACAAGCGTAGGGCGATATAGGAAGTAGAGTAAACGATTTGTGTTCATGCTGCGATTATGATTTTAGGTCATTATACTGAATAGACTGCGTGATATTCCCACAGTGAGCTAGTTGTTTGCTCACTCCCACTATTATCTCTCTTTTCAGGTTGTGTTGGTGGTCGTGGCGAAAGACGAGCGAGGCAGGGTCATATAATTGCTATTTGAATTGTTTACCTGATTCTGCTTATTTATTATTTGTATTATTGTCAGACATGTTTTAATATTGATGTGGAACTGAACCCTGTTGATTATCGTTTTTGGAGTTGGAACCATGTTTTACTTTTCAGGATTATTATGCATGCTTTAGGAATTGAACTTGGATCATTATTGGAAGATTTAAAATTGGATTAACCTTATGTTTCGATATTTGTTTATGGCATGTTGGCATGAGACGTTTATCGGGATGGTTGTACCCCATTGTTTTAGTGTTGACTTAAACTGAATGTTGGTGATTGGTCGAGTAAGGCCCGTTTAAATAAATCTTCAAATTGATTTTAAAAAATTTACTCTAATTTTTTAAAATAATTTGGTATTTTTCTATTAAAATAACAGGGCATTACATGTATGTAGAAGGTTGACTCCACTATAGACCCAACTGTTGGCTTTATAGAAAAACCGTATCTTATTTATCTTGAATTTATGTCTAAAAATAAATAATGAGATTTATTAATAATATTAAAATTTCGATTAGTACAATTTATTAGGCTGTTAAATGTTAATAATATTATTCAAGCTGATGATCAATTATATAAAAGAAATTATTGGTGAGGGCAACATAGTGCTCGCATTAACAAAGTTCATGGACTACTTAAGTTTTAGAAATTATTGGTCGAATAACATATTTGGATTTTTCTCGTCAACCGAACAAACCAACCCAAAACAAACTGCTAAAAACTGATATTTCCAAATTTTTATCACATTTAAGTATTTTTTTTTTATTGTACAAGCAAGGAGGCTAGCAAGCCTAGATGGAACCGTCCGAGGATACGACACTCCAATCCTATCATGATACAAACATATGAACATATGCCTATCCCGACTCTTGACGTTCCAACCTATAAACACCACCCGGACCTTCGACCACAATATATCCCACAATACACTAACCAATAATTTAATGCATAAAAACTGATAATACAACTCCTCCACCAAACCCAATAACAACTAACTTTACAGTTTACAAACAAGAGAGAATAAGCTCAGATCTATACATGCACAAACAAAACGACGATCACTGCATAAAACCACCCGCATTATCCACCGGACTCGGGTCGCGCCACGCCCGAGCCCGTAAATCGACGTCCCCCTCGAAAACCGTCATATACTTTTCGTCCAACACCACCCACGCCTCCACCCCTTTCCCGTCCCTCGTGTCCATCAGCCAAACCACGTTCAAAAACTTCGACCCGGGCCCCCCACCCGCCTCGCACCTCGTCACCCAATCGGGCCTCCCGAACCCGAAATCCGCTGCCTCGTAAAAACCGAACCCGCACCAGCTCGAAATCGACAGCATGTCCGCATTTCGGGGAATGTCCCGCCACACGAGCCCTAGATTCTCCCGGTAGCCTTCGAGCCCCTCGTCCCCCATCATCCGCTCTACGAATTCCCCGTCGATTTTCCCGACCGCACCCCTCATTTTCTCGACCAATTTCACCAACCCGAACTCCTCCCGATTTTCGGCCGAGGCCGCTGCAAGGCCCGGGAAGTTCCCGAAGCAGTCGGGCCCGAACGGCGGGCGGGCCCGCCGCCTCAAGTTGACCGCGTGGGTCAGAACCGAGTAGGCCCGCCCATTCGCGAGGGACGCGGCCATGAAGCACCGCCAAAGAAGGGCCGACACGGCCTCGACCCGCGTCAGATTTTTGGCCGATATCGACGACTTGAGCACCTCGACTGAGACCTTGTCGAACACGAACCGCCGCATGACGGAGGTCCCAGTTTTGAGAATCTCCGACATGGAGACCGACCCGCTTGGGATTTCGGGGCGGAAAGGGAAAACATGCTGGGCGAGGTAATTCGGGGATATGGGTCGGACCGGGTTGGATTCAGCGGGCTGGGCCGCGGCGGCCCATGCGGCGACAAACTCGCCCAAGGTGGCGGCATCGGCGGCCTTGTGCCAGAGGACGAGGGAGAGGGCGGCGCCGCCGCAGGAAAAGTGGCTGAGCTGGACGAGAGCCGGGCTGGAGCCGGGCCCAGGCTCGGAGTCCCAGGTGACGGGGCATGGGAGGAGGTGGCGCGGGAGGGCCTCGTCGGGCTTGGAGAGGAGGTCCGACAGGCGGGTGGCCGGGAAGCGGACGACGGTGAAGGGGACGCCTTGGTCGTGGCAATCGATGGACTGGCCGTCCGGGTTGACCCGGCCGGCGAGCGGGTAGAATCGGGTCAGGATTACGGATAGGGAACGCCTGAGCCGGCTCGTGAACCGGGCGGCGAAAGAGTGGGGATCGTCGGGGGAGGCGGTGTCGGTGGGGTAAGGGTAGTAGAGGACGAGAGGTACAAGCATGGAGGGGATCATCTGATCGAGCATTGAGAGGTTGTACCTTTGCTGGCTTTGCGGAGTTGGAGAAGATGGTGGGACGTTCTCTGTGGAGATAGTTTCTCTTTCCATTTTTTTTTTTTGATTATTATTATTATTTTTCCTTTTATGGTATGAGGACAATGGCTCAAGCGCTGTTTTTGAATGGGGAAAGGGCCTTTTAGAAGGCCAAGGCTTTATGTGCTCTTGTATTTTATAGAGAAACAAAACTTGTATAGGTTTGATTGAATAAAATATACATCAATTATTGACCACCTGCATGATAGTACCAATGTATTTTAGGGAATTGCTGCTGACTGTGTACCGAACCACTCTGTCATGATTCGTAACCGTTAAATTATCTAGTAATTACTATCGAGAATAATTGATCTAACGATTACAAACTCGACGGAATAGTTCTGGAACGAGACCGTAACATCTCCCGTGTTTTATTTAATATGTTGTTCTTTTCATACTGGAAAGACAAATTAATAATTGATATAATATTTTTTTTAAAAAATGTTGTTGTTCGGTCATATTTATTACGTTGAATGCAATTGAAAATGGAAACCAATCTTTCATTATTAATTAATATTTTATTATTTTAGTTGACATAAATTTTAATTATTATATTTTTATCTTAACCGGTTTTAAAAAACATCTCAATTTCTTAGAAAAAAATAAAACTTTTATACAGTTTTTTTTAAAAAAAAAAAATTGTATATCATTTTTTTAACAGAGGATAACCAATATCATCATATATATAATTTCCGATAATGTTGGTTTAAATGACAAGCTTGCACACTTTGGGATCTTATTTCGTGAAATTTCAATTTTTGTCGTTTGAGGTGGATATCTTTTAATGTACTTTCAATATATAAATAATTAGGCTTTAAATTTTTAATCTGATCTATTTTTTAATTTTTTTTTCAAAATGTAATTAAAATAAAAGGCATAAAATAAATTTTGATTATCTCATGCCTAAAAAAAATTACAAAATGTAACATAAATTCCACCAATAAGATTCAATCCAAAAATCTTTTTATTTCCTAAAAAAATGGAAGTAATAAGTTAAATAAATATATTTTAAAAGTAAATTGCAAAAACAAAAGAATAATTAGCTAAAAAATTATAGGTAACAAACATAACCAATTAGATCACACATTCAAAAGAAAGAGATTCAATATCACATAACTCTATTTATCCAATTTTTTGTGGTAATTTAATTGAATCAAACAGATAGAACCCGATTCGACATATTTTACCTAATATTTAGGAAACATGCAATTTTAAATTGAGGCACGATGGTGAAAAAAAATTAAGTAAATAAACATGTATTATGAAAATAAATAAATATATATTGTAAGAGGTTGATGGAAAAATCATTTGTGGAAATTAGTTGATTAAAAAAATGGCTCAAAGCCTTTGACTTGCTTCTTTTGGTCATCCGATTTAAATTCAAATTTTTAATAGCTTTTGATCATCGTGTGTTTAATATATATGATTTTGTTAATTTAAAATTATTTATAGTATAAATTACGTATACTCTTTTGCGACATAATTTCAAATTATTTATGGTACATATTTTTTATGCAAAATTTGCTTGAAATCCAGTTAAATTGTAAAGGTGTCAATTAATATTTTACATCGTTTATAAATTAGAGTTTTGGTTGGTTGTTCGAGGACTTAGTTTCTTAATAAATTTGGCATACCATGTTTACCTAAAATTTAGTTGGATAATTAGTAGAAAGATTTTCTATACAAAAAACATTTTGTCGAGAAACTTTATCTCTCTTTTTAATTTGTAATTAAAATATTATTTATAATCAATTAAATAAAACTTAATGTCTTTCTTTTTCACAAATACATTGGGCTACTATAACCATATAGACATCGAAATATTAACTAATAGAAATTTTATCCTTTGTAATTGACATGCATAAATTAGCACAAATTAACCCAAATGTAATCCAAAATTTTGATTTACGTATTGTTTGATCAATTATAAATCCACCATTCAAATTTACATACTAATGAATAATGAACTTATTTAATTAAACTAGTGAGAATCCCGTGCGATGCACCGGGATTTCGTAACTTAAAATATTTTTACAAAATTTTATTTTAACAATGTGTTAGCCCGTTGATCCGTTTATATTAATATAAATAACATTTTAACATATATATATATTTATTTTTTAATACAAAAAATAAGTACTTTACATATTTTGGTTCATCATAATACTCAAATATTATTTTATTCAAAAATTTATTGTCATATAATGTCAATACTATTTATAACATTTATAAATGTAATATTCCTACTTTATATAATGATAAATATTTAATGTATATTAATATTATTTATTGATCTGATTTATTTTAAAATATATAAGTAAATCTAATGTTTGTTAGGGATGTAAAAGATCTCGATATTTTAGGTACAAATATATAATATATATGTACAAATATATGACACGAATCTCTAGAGATACAAATAAAATTTTTATGTGATTTATTAACTTAATAAATTAGCCGCAATTACCTAAATTGTATATTTAAAACATACCATAAAATATTTAAATAGTTTCCAGAATTAGTAAACAATATTTATTAAAAAAATAATCAAACCTTTTTATATATAGATAGATAATCATATGAACGAATGATAAATAAAATCTACATCAATCAAATTTAATTTTACTTATATTGTTTCATAGAAATACATCTAAATAAATAAATGTCAAAGAATTCCAATTTCACATGCCACCGAATAATAAAAAAACTAATACGTTGTTATCAAATTATTATGGAACATTCACTTATAACAAAAAAATATATCATTTTTAAAAATTATTTTATATTCTGATTGCAATATCAGATTCAATTATATCTATAAAAAATTCTTTCACAATTTTGTTACATAATTTTAAGGAAATATGATTAAAACAATTCTTACAGGACTCGAATATATATTTCTCATTTTGTGTTATTAAAATCTAAGCAAATAGTAAAATATATCTCATTTAAAAAATTATTATTAACTTATCTCAAAATAAGTCGGACCGAATGGAAACATCACAAATCTTGAACGATTTTTTTAATTAGAACCATATATCACATTTAACACAAATAATTTACGACATCTACATAAGTAGTCAATTACACAAACCATTTACCACAATATTTTAGCATTTTTTTAATCCCTAATCTATAGGATTCGACTAATTTTATTTTTTCCACCATATCACTTAGACGCTCGTATAGTGTTTTTTTTAATTCAGTTTCCCGAAAAACAAGTTGTACTTGACATTGAGGGTTGTTCGTATATTTGAAAGAAAATTCGAAGCCAAGTAGTTGAAAATAAATTTCAATGATGAAGAGGTAAATATTTTATTTTCGTCATTTTTTATTTATTATTAGAATTCACATGCTAAAATTATTTAAATTAGTAGTGTATGGTTACGATGACTCGCCACTAAATCAATCTAAAATGTTGTTTACAAGGAAAATTAAAAATAGACTTTAATCCCTATTAATTATATGGAACATTCACCGAGTCAACTCCGTATTTAAACAAATTTGAGCCTCTCTATTATGGAGCTTATTATTATAAATGGTTTTTATCGTTGATGTTTTTGAGCAAGACATGACGTGTGGATGCATTGACCAATATGTTAAACTTCAGATAAATTAACAGATCATGAGAATAGTGAGGTTAATATAATACTAACTAGTGAGAATCCCGTACTATGTACGAGAATTTCGTAATTTAAATTCTTTTTGCAAAATTTTATTTTAACAATGTATTAGCCCGTTGATCCGTTTATATTAATATAAATAACATTTTAACATATATATTTATGTTTTAATATAAAAAATAATCATTTCACATATTTTGATTCATCATAATACTCAAATATTATTTTATTCAAAAATTTATTGTCGTATTAATGTCAATATTATTTAATACGTTTTAGAAGTAACCAGTACGAATCCCGTGCGATACACGGGTAATAGATATTAATTAATATTGAAAATTAAAAATACTTATTAAACAATATTTATAAATTTTAAATAGGGAATCAATAGGTAATACAATTTACTTATATTAATTTATTTAAAATGTTATACGAAATTTAAATTATGCAAAATTAGATAATACATGTCTATTTAGAATTAATACATAACCCGTACGTTCACATAACTTATAATAAATTACATTATATTTATTCAAAATAAGTGTTATTTTAAATTTTTATTTAAAAAAATGATTTGAATACAATGTGGTTCTATAAAATAATTATTTTAGTAAAATTTTATCATATATTTAAAAATATATGTGAATAATAAGTATAATATTATATTTACATTATTTCATCAATTAAAATAAATTTATTTTATATAAACTATCCACATAAAAAAATTTTAAGTAGTCGAAGAATTTATTAAACTATAAATAACTAACTATTTTATTTGCGTCCAAGTTAAAACTGACTCGTAAGTTATGAATAATTACTTATTTGGATTTAAAATTTGAAACCCAAATTTGGATTACACAATCAATTCCCTTATATATTTTATACATATCTATATTTTACTAATCTTAAAATTTTATGTATTTGATGTCAATTACCTTGTCGTTCAAATTTACCAACTAATTATTTAGAATTAAATTACAAATTTTAAATTTTATTAACAAATATTTGTTCAGAGATCTTTCTAATTTTCAAGATAAATACATACTCAATTTGCCAAATTAGGATCAATACCAAATTAATAAAAAACACATACAAATGGAACTATATATTATCTTAATAATGAAAATTTATATAACTATACCCTAAAATATTTTGTTATAGTTTTAAGAAAAAAAAATGCAGATGATAAATATAACTACAGGAGAATATGAATAAAATTATAAAACTTATGACTTCACTTAAATAGTAAATATAAATATCAAAATAAGAAATTCATTGGTGGCAATTCATAAAGTCATATAAATTTTAGATTGATAAACATTAATTTATATTTTAAATGACTCAATATTATGAAAAAGATATATGATAAATATAATTAAAATATTATAATTT